GCACGGCACAGTACTCAGTGTTCTCGGGGATCTGCTCATGACTCTGCACCCTTACACCATCCTTCTCCTTCTGTGCTGTGGAAATCCACTCGCCTACACCCACATAGTGCATCTGACCAAAGCAGGCCATTCCCGGCCCGAGGAACTGAGAAGGTGTTCTTCGCTCATCAGTCTCTGCAATCCTGGACCTCTTCCCGCCTTGCAGTCACCACCCGACAGCACAGGTTACACTTCTAAAACATTAGTAGTGTTTAACAGATAAATCCCACTGCTGACTGAACCTTTCATTGTATTGGACTTAACGGTATGTCCGTACATTTGATCACTAAATCATTCTTTACTATTATGTAATAGAAAGGGAAATTCAGAGCAACCTGTCAGAGGTTTTGCCATGAAACTTGGATCACAGCTATTGAGGGGACTTAGGACTGTGAGGTACCAATGCAGTGTGCACAGTGGAAAAAATAAAGCTACCCAGATGGTGCAAATGTCCGATGTCGTCAGTTTCTGTTTGTTGGTAATGGAGGTGGTCATACATATGCAAATACACGTATATGTAAATTTACATATGGAAGGGAAGAACATATCTGGTCTGAGAGGAGGAAAGAAAATGTACAGGATTTCACCCAAACCTGCCCCTGTACAGTGGCACATAATTGGGATGTCTGCAGGAAGCCTCAGGCCAACTGAAATGAGCCTTTGGCCAATCCCTCAGCACACACAATCATTTTTCTTCCATTGGCCCGCCCCTAAGTAAATAAATAAATAAAACAAAAATAAAAATGACATCCACAAGCCCTCTAAGTGTGTGAGATCCTGGTGTCATCATATAGAACACAGACAAAAAAAAATAGATGTTTGAAACATCAAAACTGTATTGGTTGGTGCCTCAGGGTCAGAAGCTTGCCGATGGGGAAGGGGTCTCAGTTTAATCTCACATATTGCCTCACTTTCAAGCCCATCCTGGACTGGCAAGTCAGGCCCGGATTTGGTGCAAGCATTGTGCCCGCCTGTGCCTCTCAAGGTCGAGGGACTGGCTCCTCCTCTTCCCAGCAAGGCCCAGCGCTGCCCAGTGAGCAACGTTCTTTTCTACATCTTGGCACTGGGGGCTGGTTTATTGGAGGATAAAAGTGGAATTCTCTGCTGTCTGCAGGGCTTTCCCCAGGGAACAGAGCACGAAACCCAAACTTATATAAAATCATATCCTGTTTGCAAACACCGTACTCCCTCTGCTTCTCACTGATCGAGCCCCATAAACCCTAGCACAGCTTGAGAGTCCTTTCCTCATCTAAACAAATGCCATGAGCCCCTTTATACTTTTACAACCATGTCAAAAAATAATATTGCCTGCCAATAGTGATGTGATTGGAGTTGCCTCCTCTGAGCCATAAAAGAGGGGCAGAGTCTGTTATCAATTTCTCTAAGTGTACCGGGGGAATTATGGGTCGATTCAGTTCCAAGTTATAAACGACATCTCAAAAGCCACAGAAGCGTTTGAAGCCGGGAGCTGATGACGACATTATCATAAAAGCCTGCTCGTCCTTGCGTTTGTGGTTTTTTTTTTTCCTATCAAGTGAAGAGGGGTAAAATAAGGCTGAGAAATGACTTCAAGATTTCTTCGCACAGCCGTAGGTCAGATGGCCAGGAAAATGATCACTATTTTTAGTGATGATCCCGAGGAGGGAGAACTAGCATGGTCTTGCTCGGGCTATTGTTCCCAGGGTCTCCTAATAATCTGTTTCACTACATGATGGCCAAGGCTCAGATTTGGCAACGTGCTCTTTCAAATGGTGGGTTTTCTTGCAGTGGCATTACTTCATAATTAGAAATGAGTCATGCCCTGGTAACTAAGAAAATGAAACTCGAACACGAAGAAATCTGGGAAACTGACATTGTCGCTCAAAACCTGGTTCTGGCGAGCATATTCTAAAGGATCCTAAATGCTGCTTGCCCATGAGCTGCCTGACTGAGAATCCAATTACTGCAAGCAATTCTAGGGGAAAAATCTAATAAGAAGCAGAGGTTTTCTGATTTCATAATGTCCCAGGTCATCTCCTCAAAAACCAATTAATCCATCATCATTCAGTAGCTTCACATTAAACCCAGAGAGAATCAAGCTCTAGATTCAAAGCAATGACAGTTTACATTAAGGCCTGGAAATCACGGAGTATTTCTGAATTGAAAGCAATGGGTCTATCTTAGAAAATTTGAACCAGAGGAGTGTTTTAAGACAAAAGGATTTACCAAACGATTCCAAACATCCATGGTGCATCCTTAACTCTAAACTGGGTTACACCAGGTTCATGTTGACTGTCTCTTGTATATGCTTTATCTGTGGTTGTTCTGGAGGTAAAAAATAGGCTGGTTCAAATCCAAAGGACCCAGAGCTCTTCCTAGGTCTGTATCAAAACTAAAGACCCAAAGAAGCAAGACGGCTCAGGTATAGTCAAGAATATGATCTGGTTCCTTAAAATAACAGTAATAATTAATAAAAATAATTATAGACCCAAGATGGCTCAGTGGGTAAAAGCACTTCTGACCTAAGTTTAATCCCCAGAATTCATGGTGAAAGGAGAGTTAAATCTCCAGAGTTGCTGCTGACTTCCACAACCTTGTCTTGGGTGCTCCCCAATGTATATATATATATGTACGCATTTATACACACACACACACACACACATAAATAACAGACAAAATTAAAATGCAACTGCACAGACACATGAAAGTATTGAACCATACAACTTTGCCACAGCATCACCAAGTTAAAAATGTGGCCCTTGCTATACGTGTGCATGCATGTATGTACACACACACACACACACACACACACACACACATGATTTACCAAGTCCTATCCTGAAGACAGAATGAAATTTGCTAATCACAGTGTCCCTCTCAAGTACTGACCCACGTCTCTTCCTGTCTCTGCCCACATTGTCGCTCTCCCCCAGCACTGCCGCCGCTGTCCTGATCAGGGTTGTGTCTGAGATAAGGGTAAGAATGTGTTCTTTGGCTCTGCGGTGCTTCACGCGGGCATATGGAGTCAGCAGGAGCAGTCACGACTCCCTCTTTAGGTACTTTATAGAGGGTACCGAAGTCATTCTCGCTGAAGATTAAGTTAACTTGGCGTGAGTTTAGTGAGGGTCTGTAGGGGCACTCTGGAACAGTGGACCGCAGGAACCCAGGTTATCTTTTGGAGAGGAGCCTCACGGAGGCATCGGTAGCTCAGCTGTGTGTCAGGAAATAGTGTATGTGTACAGGAGTAGATGTCCACCATCCCTTTAACTAGCTTTGAGACCCTTCCCACCACAGTTCCCAGAAAACAGCCTCGTTTCATTCTTTGTCGCACTTGTAAGAACTCTCTCTCCCAAAACAGTCATGGTGATATTAGAACATGCTGGCAAAGGCAATAAAAGCCATTTCAAAAGTCATTTATCCCCCGCCTTTTTAGAAGCATCCAGCAAGCTCCCAGCACTGCGGAGGTTTGCTACAACTAGCCAGCACTATAGTGGGATGTCTGTTCTGTGTCAAGGTTCAAACAACCACAGTCAGTGGTGAGCAGCTACGAAGAGGCCACACCAGGCACCGTGAGGCTGGAGGGGTTGAGGACAGAGCCAGCAGCTGTCCGCTGATGGTGAAGAGGGGAAGAATTGGAAAAGCTGCTTCACAGCGTCTACTTGTGAGTGTGCCCGTCGGTTCTTCCAGCCCTTCACCACTGGCTGTGTGATAAACTGTCCGGTCCAAGTAGATATTGATTAGTGTTGGCATTTTACTTCCAGAGAGGCAAGATTAGGGAACAGGAAGAGATTCCTACATTAGGCATCATTAAAATGATGAGCTGAACAGAAGCCTATGAAAATTTTCCGTATTTGGCTTAGCAAAGAATTGTCAAAAACATGATTTTTGTTCTCTCTGTTCAAATTCTACAAATTGTGTTGGGACCATTTGGAGTCCTGGCCTCCAGCTGCTCTTCCCTGCTAGAGATCTTTACTTTCCTTCTGATTTGAGTTACTGAAAGCTGTGTTTAAATTGTTTACCAGCTCTGCTTCATGAGCACGTGTTGTGTTGCCTTGGCCTTGAGGATCAGAGGATAAGGTTTTCACCTGTTGGCCCACCTGACTGTTGGGTATATAAGCCTCTGTGGTGCTGGTGCTATTGAATAAATGGCTTTTTACCATTGACTAGAGGTCCGTGTCTCTTGCCTGTGTGTCTTTGTGTGTTTCAGCCTCCAGCCCCTTGCCCGAAGCTCGGAAGCTCATGCACTGTATGGTAGTGCATAGAGCACAGACAGGTGTTGTGTGCTGCAAAATTGTACTTGATTTAAATGCCTGAGTCCCTGGGAAGCTGACGTAGAGGTAAGCTGTACCGGCATGACTGAACAGTCACTTTCTGTTAGAGAATGAAGGTTTGTTACTGGTAAGGATTAACTTTAAATAGATTACAGGCTATAAGGTTTGTTCTAATCATTCACAAAAATGTAGACATTTCTCTTCATATGTTGCTGAATCTGAACAAATCTTTCCTTGAAATGTGGTATAAATATCCTGGGTCAAAAGTCTTTGCTAATTATTGAAGAAGAAGAAGAAAAATCAACCTCAAGGGACTCACAATGTGTCCCACAGTGCAAAGCACTTTGCATAGTCCGTGACATTTTAATGCATGCACACAGCTGGTGGAATCTACAGAAAGGGGAGTTGTGAGCACAGTTACTTAGAAATCGTTCCTGGGAATGTTCTTCTGCCACAGGAAAGTCTAACAAAGCCGGTCTCGAGGAGTGTGTGCCTTGTCACACAACGTGAAGGACAGGCCGTCGCAATTGCTGTAAGTCTAAGTTGTCATCATCTCAAAATCCATAAATCTGTTTGGAGCAGGAAACTCCAGATTTTGCAACAAGCTGAGCGGGTCACACTCAGTCCTTTCTGCGAGGCAACCCTTGGAAACTAAGGAAGAGTTTCTGTATGCCTGTGCAACTTGAAGACAGTAAACAAATTTCTACTTACCCCAAGTCCACCACAAGGCAACGAGGAAAAGAACTTCCGGGAGTCGTCACCTGCACATGTGAGACATGAAACATAAATGGTGTGAATGGACAGTTCTCACTCTGCGGGTGCTTATACACATACTGTACGCCACATGTGTTCCTTATTTCACTTACTAGAATATAAACGAAAACTTAGATCAACCGGAGTTAATTTTCAGAACACACTGCTTCTTTATACAGGTACACAGTTATTAACTCAAAGCCAATGAAAACAAGAAAATAAACCACACACACATGGAGAGAGAGAGAGAGAGAGAGAGAGAGAGAGAGAGAGAGAGAGAGAG